GACATCTCTACCACTTACTACTTGTGTGGTTTAGGACAAGTTACTTAACTTCTCTGAGCTTCAGTTTCTTCATCTGTAAAACAGGGATAATAGGAGATAAGTAATAGTATTTACTTACTTTATAGAATTATTTTGAAGATTAAATAAGAATATTCAAGTAAAAGGCCTCACATGGTACTTGCACATTTTCCACACTCAATGAATGATAAGAGTGAACACTATCTCAAGTCTCCTTGTTTCTTAATCCAATGTTTTCCCCCTCAAATCTCACTTCCTGCAGTATAATTGAACTTAAGTCAATAGACATTACTGCGAACCTATTAGATGCTGGTGTGGTTGTTGTTATATTAGAAGGAGGCAAGTCCTAACATCCTACTCAGTTATTAGTTTAAGCAAACCTTGCCTTGGAAACTATATGGAATCATTTCCTATTCATTCTTCCTATTAACAACATAAAATTAATTTCAAATCTGGGTTCTTTTTTGGTGAAGGTATAGCTGAATTTAACAGGGTTGTTTGAGGATTAAATGGGTCATTTTCTGCAAGGTACTCACAACATGGTAGGTGCTCAATAAATGATAGTATTACCACCCCAGCAGTGCACATGCACTGATGGACTTACACACCTGTGACTTATGGGCATGAAAATGCAGAGGGGTCCTTTCTTTTCTGATTTAATTTTGACCCTAGAACTAAGCTTTCAGGCATTATCTAGAAAAAACACTAATCTTCTGGACATGGTCCTAGGTTTGTTCACTGGCTTCTGCTAGCTGTGGGCCCCTCCCTAAACCTAATCAAATATCCATCTCCCCTTTCTTCCCTCCACTTTGTCCCTCTTGCCTCAAAACTGCCCTGAAAACTTCCAAGATTAACTCCTAGTTACGTGGACTCTATGTTCCCACATCCTGTAGATACTCAACATATACCATTTGTTACTTGGCTTCCACTGAAAGCAACTTTCGCTTGACTGATGTGTATAGGTATTAAAAAATTCTGCAATAAAGTATGTTGGAGTTCATAGTGCTTATTGCTTTCCTATATGCAGTTGTAAACTAATAATGAGACAGCGAAATACAGGGTTCGCTCTTTTATGGATGTTGGAGCGAGACTGCCTAGGTTATAATTCTGGCTTTGCCACTTACTTTGTGATCTTGGGTGAGTTACTTAACTTTTCTGTGCCAATGTTTACTTATCTGGAAAAAGGGAATAATAACACTTACTTTCTAGCGTTCTCATGGAGATTAGATGGGTTAATATTTGTAAAGCACTTGGAACAGAGCCTGGCATATAGTTAGTGGTATACAAGTGTTAATTATATAATAATAGTTACCATTTTTAGAGCACTTAGCTATCTGCCAGGCACAGAACATGTTGCCTTCGATCCCCTCAGTCATGCAAGGTCAACTATTTATAGTAGTGTGCTAGAGCTGGCCTGTACTTGCTTATGAGAGCTGAACATTAAAGTTTCAGAAAGTTTGTAAGTCAGCTGTTGAACAGAGCCATTACTAAAATTTAAATTATATAAATTACCACTAATAAATTATATTAAAAACAAAGATAATAAATATTCAGATCTCATCATTTCCCAATTATTTTACTAGATTTTACTATCATCTATGCTCTTGAGGTTATTTGTTTATTGTATCTGTACAGTGGAAATAATGGTGTGATACTGTGCCTCTCTTCCTAATTCTGTGACATCAGTTTCCATAGCTCAGAATCTGCTATGGTGGGAATATTTACACCACAGAAGTTGGCAACCCCTACAAATCAAGGCTTTGTTTTTTTAATTTGGTTAATTGGTTGTTCAACATTCATCAGAACACCACTGCCTATCATTGTCCCTTCTTTAAAGATGATGAAACTGAGGACTACAGACGTTAAATGATTTGCCCAAGGCCACAAAACTAGGAGGTGGTAAAGCTGGGATTCAAGCCCAGGTTTTTGTTTGTTTGCTTGCCTTTTCAAAGAAAAATATATTTCCAAAGTCCACATGCTGTCCAGTCAGCTACTCTCCCCTGAGGTAGGAATGTAAAAGCTGGGTAGGATTCAAACATAAGGGGAAAAGCTCTTCCGTTCCCCTTCAGCTCCCTGCCCTTAATGTACAAGCCCAACTCCTAGCCTGCCCCTCCTGGGCATAGCAGTGGTTATTCCTTTCTAGTCCCATTATTCCAACCTTGGGGGGAGGGTATAGCTCAGTGGTAGAGCGCATGCTTAGCATGCCCGAGGTCCTGGGTTCAATCTCCAGTACCTCCATCAAAATAAATAAATAAACTATCCCCCAAAATAAATAAAAATAGTGATAAAAGATACTTTAAAAGGAAGTTTCCATTATTCCAACCCAGACTTAGAGATGCCTTTGATCACTTAACTTGATAATTCCATTACTGTCTTGCCTGGGGATCCATTTTTGCCCATTATCCCTTCTTCCCAGAATCTCTTTTCTTTTTCCCAAGGTTAAGACTAAACCCTATAGCACAGGAAACTACATTCAATATCTTGTAATAATATTATGGAAAATTATATGTAATAACATTATGGGAAAACTATAATAGAAAAGAATCTGAAAAGAATATATATCTTCTTTGAATCACTTTGCTGTACACCTGAAATATTGTAGATCAATTATCCTTACTTTTTTTAAAAAAAAGACTAAACCTACCTTTTTCAATACCTGTACCAATTTTCTATTTTCCTGGTTTGAGAAGACTTGGCACAGTAGTTAAAATCCCTCAGATAAGAACTTAAACTTTTTTTTGGTTTTTTTGGGGGGAGACTTTTTATTGCTGGTAAAATCCTGATGGTATAATACAAGGTGAAAAAAAGATACCAATTTTGTAAAATATATATATATATATGTATGTATATATTCCAACTATATATATATATGGAATTTTTTTCTTTTTAATAGACTATTCTTTCAGAGCAGTTTCAGGTTCACAAGAGAATTGAGCAGAAAATACAGAGTTTACACATAGCCCTCCCCACCCACACATACATACTCCCCTACCCTCAACATCCCTCATCAGTGTGGCATATTTGGTACAATCGATGAACAAGAACTTAAACTTTTTATTGATGTAACATACATATAGAAAATCATATATATCAGAAGTATACAGTTCAGATCATTTTCCCAGACTTGATACACCCATGTGCCTAGCACCCAGATCCAGAACCAGAACTTTATATATTTACTCAGAAGCCTCTTCCTACTCCCTTTCAGTTTCTATTCTCCCAAAGATAACCACTAACCTGGCTTCTAAAAATCACGCACCTCTTTTAAATATTGGCAGATTTAGGACCACACTGGGCTAGGTAGTCTGTAAGTATTATTAAATGCTCCCTTCAGGCAGGGAGGTACTATCAATTATCTTGACGTATTTCCCACTCCTGTGGAGCAATGACAAGAAACCTGAGTTCCAATCCCAGTCTACCACTTAACCCTGTGACCTGGAAAATCCATTTCTCCTCTCTTGAACCTTGGCAATCTAGTCTATAAAATATGGACAAACATAATCCATTTGCAGAACCAAATGAAATCTCACTCTCAAAGCCTGGTACAGTGTGCCTGATATATAGTAATGTAATAGCTGTGTTTTTTCCCCCTAACTGTAGTTAGTCATTTTATTACTTGCCAATTCCAAGTACAGATACTAATTGTTGATTTTGTTTTATGCAGGCATGATGTGAATGTTTTATCTATATTATCTCATTTATAACTCTGGCCAAATAGAATTCTTTAAATTTCTCATCTGCTTTTTCTCAGTCTTCCATATCTCAGTAGTCAAAGGCATCACTATCTAAAGATTTAGATTCCAGTCTAGGCGCTTTCCTTTATTACTGTCTTTCTCATAGTCCACTCATTTAATTTATTAGCAGGTTTTGCTGACTCAGAGAAAATCCAAGTCACTCAGTTCTCAATTTCCAGTACCACTATGCTATTTTAAGCCACTACCCTCCCTCACTTAAGTATCTCTACAAAAATGTAAGCTACAGGTGAACAGACTCTGTGTATTATTGATCACAGCTGTATCCCTAGCACCCACAACAGCGTCTCGCACTTAGTAAGCTTTTGCTATGTCATGAACAAATGAATGTTGCAAAAAACATTTGTAGTGTGTGCCCTTACTATTTCCATCTTACAGATGGTGGGGGGAGGCGTGCAGTGGTTAAATAACTTACTTAAGTTCACATGACAAATATAAAAGCCAGGGCTCAAAGCCAGGGTCTAACCCTAGAGCCTGCTCCATCATCCACTATGCTGTCCTACTAGACTACACTGGCTTATTCTGAAGCCAAGGGCTTTTTAGTTGATGTTAGGAGAAATTTTAGTTGAAATCCCCCAACGTGAAAACTTTTCTTGAGAATAAAGTTCATGTACCCCTTCACAGGGCCTTGTAGGCACATCATGATTTGGTTTCTTCCAAGTCCCTTCTCTCCTTATTGGCTGCTTCTCCCAACATTCCAGCCATAATGCACTCTACTCCCTTCCCAGCAAATGCTCCTGCCTCTAACCAAAACAACTTTCTCACCCCCTTTCTAACCTTCTAACCTTTCTCATCCCCTCTGGAAAACCTTCCCTAATTTCTCAATTCTGAGAGATTATAACAGGCAGTACTTTATCCCAGCTGTCAGGACGCTACTAAAATTACTTGTTTATTTTCTTAACTGTTCTCTGCTGTGTCTCAGAGCCTAAGAAGCGCCTGGAATAGACTAGGTACTTAATAAATATTTGCTGCATATGAAACGTATGAAAGGGCAAAGATTATTTTATCAATTTACGGTAGAATGTGGCTCCTAAGCGCGAGGTATTTCGCCCTGGGTCAGTCACTGAGTGGCAGAGGCGGGATCTGAAACCGGAGCTCTACAGACAGCCGCACCAGACCACGCCCGCACTCCTAGCTCCTTTCTTCCTCGGCTCCGACGAGCTCCGCCTACTTCAGCCGGCGCGAGACTAGTTCCGAGACTAGTTTGGCCCTCGGGCGGCCGCCGTAGAGCATCGCCCCCGTTGCCGTGGGAAACGACCCGGGACCTGGGAGGAAGGAAAGACGTTTCCCGCCGGCGGGAGCTGCGGTTGTGGTGTCAAGGGGCGCTCAGAGACAGCGGATCCCAGCACCGCAGCGCTATGGCAGACCAGTTTTATCTGGAAAATATAGACGAGTTCGTCACGGACCAGAACAAGATCGTGAGGAACTAGAACCGGGGAATGTGGGCGGGCGACTAGGGTCCTGGCCCGGTGAGGGTGGCGGGGGCCGTGACCCCTCTGCCGCGTGGGGACTGGCCGAGGGGAGACAGGTACCCCAGGGCGAGCGAGGACCTGTGGGACGCCCACAAATCCTTGTCCCTGGGTGGGCGTGCTGGGCTCTGTGCAGGGACCGCAGGCCACGGAAGTGAGGCGGGGAGGGAGGAGCGTTGGTTAATAATGTTTCTAAGGCGTTTGAGGTCCCAAGTTTACAGTTGAGGAAATTGTCCTAACCGGGTTAAGCAACAAATTGTTTATCCTTCCGACACTCAGTCGGTTTCTTCTGGAACTTTGGTATTGATACAGGCTTGACCTGCCCCACAGGGTTGGAGTAAATATCAAGTGAGATGATGGATCTTAATGCGCTTTGCCAATCGTGATGAATGAGTGCTTACTATAAGCTTTGGATACACGTTCTTAAATTTAATCTTTACAGTGACCCACGTAGAGGTCGGTGAAAGTATCCCTAGAAAAGGGAGTTGAAGCAGAGGGACCATTTATTTGTGATTAGTAAGGGATAATCAGTTTTCCAGCCGAGGTCTGTCTTTTGCTAGTACTTTCCTCTGCATCACACTGCCTTTGCCTAACTTATGTAAGTCTTGTCATTATTGGAAACTCAGCATTTAGAATTGGAAGACTTTGAGAGGAGGGTGACAGATTACAAGGAAGTGGCAAGTGATCAAGGAAGGATGGAAGATTACGCTTGAGGCCGGTAATCCCCAATCCAACCTCTTATACAGTATTCATCCACTTCACTTGTTCCCTGGCTCCTGCACCACCTGTGCCCTTTAATGTTTGTATGGCTGCAACTTTTCTTAGAAGTTTGAGTCATGCCCTCCTGCATAACCTAGCTTCTGGTGAGTTTGAGGATAGTGTTTGGCGGTGGCCCCCCAAAAGGACAGAATGTGAAAAAAGGGACTTCAGTAAAACAAGAAGTGCAAGGAAAATGAGAGCTTTTTCTATTTATATTCATCCTTTCTTTTTAGAATCTGTTGCCTTAATTGATCTGTGAAACAAACTTCTTGATATTTGTAAGATAAATATCTCAGCCCTACCTGCCCAGATGGATAGTTCTTGGCAAAATTGGGGTGGCATTTATTGTAATTTACCAGGAGTAATCATCTAAGAGTGAGACTCTTTAGGAGCCCTTGGGACTGATCAGCACTCTGGAGTCATCTAGTAAAACATTAAAAATTTTTTTCTTCTTGCAGGTGACATACAAATGGCTGAGCTATACATTAGGAGTTCACGTTAATCAGGCCAAACAGTAAGTATTGTTTATTGCTAATTTTAATCACATTGAAATTTTTTGTTTTGTCTTGTTTTCTTTTGCTTTGTTATTATTATAGTCTCTAGGTAAGAACTTTTTTCCCCCCTCTGGGGAAATGGGAAAGAATACTATTTTTACTACCTTTTACTGCTTTTGTCTATTATTTAGGAGATAGGTGTACTCGTATACAAATGTGTGGTGATATGTTTACTGGATTTACTTGTAGCCTTGCCCTCTGGTTAACATCATTTTGTTACTTCAAATTTATTAAATGGGGTAGCCAGTTCAGTTTGCACCTCAGATTTATACGTGTGTTATCTTACATCTGCATTGCATTTTTGCTTGTGCTCCTTAGGCCTATCTCTGGGTGGTGTTTACTGAAGTACGTTCATAAAGAGGTCAACAGGTGTTTGACACAGGCTGTATAAGACAGGAGAGAGCTATCTAAGTGAAACTAAAAAGGGAGTGTTTAGGATGGCACAGAGTATTGCTCTTCTTGAATTTTGCCATATCACCTTTCCTTGCTGAAACTTGTAGTCCAACTTGAGGCCAAAATGGAAAAGGCAAGTTAAAAACAATTTAAAAAATTTTTTTGCTTATTTTTATTTTTAAAAAAATTTTTATTGAAGTATAGTTGATTTACAATGTTGTGTTAGTTTCTGGTGTACAGCATGTGATTCATTTATACATATGTATGTTTTCTTTTTCATATTCTTTTCCATTATTTCTTATAAAGACATTGAATATAGTTCCCTGTGCTGTACATATACAGTAGGACATTGTTGTTTACCTATTTTATATATAGCAGTTTATACCTGCAAATGCCAAACTCCTAATTTATCCCTCTTCCACTCCTTTTCTATTTGTTAACCGTAGTTTGCTTTCTCCGTCTGTGAGTCTGTTTCTGTTTTGTAAATAAGTTTATTTGTGTCATTTTTTAAGATTCCACTTATAAGTGACATCATATAGTATTTATCTTTCTCTTTCTGACTTACTTCACTTACTATGATAATCTGTAGGCCCATCCGTGTTGCTGCAAATGGCATTATTTCATTCTTTTTTAAGGCTGAGTAGTGTTCCATTGTGTATATATATACCACATTGTCTTTATCCATTCATCTGTCATTGGACATTTAAGTTGCTTCTACATCTTGGCTACTGTAAATAGTGCTGCATGCATTAAGGTGCATGTATCTTTTCGAATTAGAGTTTTCTCCAGATATATGTCCAAAAGTGGGATTGCTGGGTAATATGGCAACTCTAATTTCATTTTTTAAGGAATGTCCATGCTGTTTTCCATAATGGCTGCACCAATTTACATTCTCACCAACAGTGAGTGTAGGAGAGTTCCCTTTTCTCTATACCCTTTCCAGCATTTGTTATTTGAGAACTTTTTAATGGATGGCCACTCTGACCAGTGTGAGGTGATACCTCATTATAGTTTTGATTTGCATTTCTCTAATAATTAAAGATTAACATCTTTTCATGTGCCTTTTTGCCTTCTGTATGTCTTCATTGGAGAAATGTCTGTTTAGGTCTTCTGCCTATTTTTTTTTAAATTGTATTGTTTGGTTTTTTGTTATTAAGCTGTATGAGCTATTTGTATGTGTTGAAGGTTAATCCCCTTGTTGGTTACAACATTTGCAAATATTTTCTACCAGTCCGTAGGTTGTCTTTTCATTTTGTTTATGGTTTCCTTTGCTGTGCAAAAGCTTGTAAGTTTGATGAGATCCCATTTGTTTAATTTTGCTTTTGTTTCTATTGCCTTGGGAGACTGACCTGAGAAAACATTGCTACAATTTATGTCAGAATGTTTTACCTGTGTTCTCTTACAGGAATTTTATGGTGTCATGTCTTACATTTAATTCTTTGATCCATTTTGAGTTTATTTTTGTGTATGGTGTGAGGGAGTGTTCTAACTTATTGATTATGTACAATTGTCCAGCTTTCCCAACACTACTTGCCAAAGAGACTATTTTTTCTTCATTGTACATTCTTGTCTCCTTTGTCAAAGATTAATTGACCGTAGGTGTGTGGGTTTATTTCTGGGCTCTCTATTCTGTTCCATTGATCCCTATGTCTGTTTTGGTGCCAATACCATGCTATTTTGATTACTGTAGCTTTGTAGTATTGTCTGAAGTCTGGGAGGGTTTATGCCTCCAGCTTTGTTCATTTTCCTCAGGATTGCTTTGGCAATTCTAGGTCTTTTTTGGTTCCATATTAATTTTAGGATTATTCTAGTTCTGTGAAAAATGTCATTGGTAGTTTGATAGGGATTGCATTACATCTGTAGATTGCTTTGAGTAGTATGGTCATTTTAAGAATATTAATTCTTCTAATCCAAGAGCATGGGATATTTTTCCATTTATTTAAATGATCTTCAGTTTACTTTATCAATGTGTTATAGTTCTCAGCGTATAAGTCTTTCACCTCCTTGGTCAGGCTTATTCCTAAGTTTTTTTTTTCTTTTTGTTGTGATTTTAAAGGGGTTGTTTCTTTACTTTCCTTTTCTGATATTTCATTGTTAGTGCAAAGAAATGCAACAGATTTCTGTATGTTAATCTTGTATGCTGGTACCTTGCTGAATTCACTTATCAGTTCTAGTAGTTTTTGTGTGGAGTCTTCAGGACTATATATATATAGTATCATGTCATCTGCATATAATGACAAATTTACCTTTTCCCTTCCAATTTGGATACCTTTCATTTCTTTTTCTTGTCTGACTGCTGTGGCTAGGACTTCCAATACTGTGTTTAATAGAAGTAGTGAAAGTGGGCATCCTTTTCTTGTTCCAGATTTTAGTGGGAAGGCTTTTAGCTTTTCACCATTGAGTATTATGTTGGCTGTGGGTTTATCATAAATAGCGTTTATTATGTTGAGATATATTCCCTCTATACCTACTTTGGTAAGAGTTTTTATTATGAATGGGTACTGAATTTTATCAGATGCTTTTTCTGCATCTATTGAGATGATCATGTGATTTTTGTGTTTTTGTTGATGTGGTATATCATATTGATTGATTTGTGTATGTTGAACCATTGTTGTGACCCTGGGATGACTCCAACTTGATTGTGGTGTATGATCTTTTTTATGTGTTGTTAGATTCAGTTTGCTAATATTTTGTTGAGAATTTTTGCATAGTCATCAGAGATACTTGCCAGTAATTTTCTTTTTTGGTAGTGTCTTTGTCTGGCTTTAGTATCATACCGATGGTGGCTTCATAGAATGACTTTGGGAGTGTTCCCTCCTCTTCAACGTTTTGGAACAGTTTGAAGGCTCTGTATAAGTTCTTTGTATGTTTGGTAGAATTCCCTGGTGAAGCCGTCTGGTAGGGAGTTTTTTTGTTTGTTTGTTTGTTTGTTTTTAACAGATTCTTTTTTACTTCTAGTGAACAGTCTATTCAAATTATCTATTTCTTTTTGATTGAGTTTTGATGGCCTGTATGTTTCTAGGAACTTGTCCATTTCTTATAGGTTGTCCAATTTGTTGGCATATAATTGTTCATAGTATTCTTACGATTTTTTTGTATTTCTGTGGTATTGATTGTTTTGGGGGGTGGGAGGGAATTAGGTTTATTTATTTTTATTTTTATTTTTATTTTTATTTTTATTTTTATTTTTATTTTTATTTTTAAACAGAAGTATGGGGATTGAACCCAGGACCTTGTGCATGCTAAGCTCTCGCTCTACCACTGAGCTATACCTTCCCCCTAGATTGTTATTTCTCCTCTTTCATTACTTATTTTGGATTTTTGGGGTTCTCTCTATTTTCTTCTTGGTGAGCCTGGCCAGAGGTTTGTCAGTTTTGTTTACTGTTTCAAAGAACCAGCTCTTGGTTTTATTGATTTTTTTTCCAGTTTTTAAAAATCTCTGCTTTATTTAGGAAAAGGCAAGCTTTTGAATTAACTTCAAAATTTCTTCACCTGCAAATGTGCAGATGTTGTCTATGTCCCATGAGGAGAAATTGGTGAACAGGCTGAGAGCACATATATTGAGTTAAATATTCCTTTTGTTTGCTTTATTCCTAAGAGGGGGTCTATTTTTCCCTATTTCTTGAGTTATAGGACATTCATTAGTGTTAGAAAATCACTGATCTCTAGATTGGGTTGATTTGGCTTAATTCGGATTACTGTTTGACAGATTTAGAAACCTGGTTTTGAGTGTGATGTTTATGCCTCCAAGACCTGAAACTCTTGACCCAGGGATGGGTTTGGAGTCATTCTGACTATTTGAGATTGCTGTTGCTAAGACCAGACCTGGCCCAAACCTAAGAGGTTCAGGTAACTTTGGGAATGGATACCCATAAGAGTAATTATTTATTGTAGTTATGGATGCTTAAATATGAAATGAGGTAAGTATTACTGTATAAGCCTATTGAGATTTAAAGGTGCATATTGAGGCCTGAAGATGAAATAAAGTTGACTGCAATTTTACTGTAGCGACCCTTATTTCCTGTAATTTTTATAGACTTAATATGCTATCTAGCCCTTGCCTGTGTCCCAACTTCATCCCATACTGACTTACATACCATACATGCTTTACCTGGCTTATACTCTAGCCACATTTGCTTTTCTGTTCCTCAGATATGCCAAGTCCATTCTCACCCAAGGAAGTTTGTACCGTTCGTTCCCTCTGCCTGGACTGCTCTTCTCCTAGCTGTCCTCATCCTTCAGGTTTCAGCTTAAATTTGACACATTACTTCTTGTAACAGCCCTTACCTGATGCTCACTTTCAGGTATCCCTGCTCCTCCCTAACTCTCTGTTATGTCACCCTGTTAATTCCTTTCATAATTCTTTTTTTAAGAACAGCTGTATTGAGATCTAATTCACATACCGTATGATTCACTCATTTAAAATGCACAGTTCAGTGATTTTTAGTATATTCACAGAGTTGTGCAGCCATCACTACAGTTAATTTCAAAATATTTTCATCACCCGCAAAAGAAACCTTGTATCCATTAGCAGTCCCTCATCATTCTTGTCCCCCCAGCATTAATG